TACTCTCTCTCTCTCTCTCTCTCTCTCTCTCTCTCTCTCTCTCTCTCTCTCTGTCTCTCTCTCACTGTTTCTTCTAAAATTATTTATTCCTCTTCTCGTTTCGTACAACCGACTATCTCCGTTCGTTCGTGGTGCAGCTTTTCAGGAATATGATTGATTAGATAGAGGAAAATTCTCGAATATTGCCGACCAAATATCAAGAAGATACATATATTTTCGAGATGTAATGATGTTTGGATATTTTTGTACGGTATTCTAAGTCCAAGTTTCGATTTTTGCCCTACAAAACGTTTAAATTCACGTTCAAGAAACTCCCTGTAGATTGCAATCTTGCTGTTGATACATAGCTACTCTGAGATATCTTGTACGTTCAATTAGGATGTTTATATAATAAGAGAAGAGTCCTGAATATTCCATTTATAATATTTTCTCAGGCACACCTGTGAGTATTTACAATCCAATGTATGTTCAAGAGAAATTAAACGACTTAAATTAATTATATTTGCGACAAGATCTATTCGTAATGGAAAAACGGAAGGAAGAAAGAGGATGAAGAGAAGACTGAAAAGGGAGACAAGAAAATTTTTTTTTGTACACGATATTATTGACGCGATAAAGAGAAAATTATACAGGGTCGCCGATCTATCGAGCTGGAGACCTATCACAGATACTAGAAAACAAATGAAATGAAATGGATTAAAAATAGGAAGAAGTAAATATCAACAACGCCCTGCGAGATCGGACTACATCATAGTCTCGCTGCAGCTAGTCATACTATCGAAATCTAATTGTGAATACGAGCGATGATCGTGTTCGCAAAAAGCTGCACTACCACCGGACCCAGCCAGCGGATTGCACCATCCGTCGGAGCGTATTGTGTTCGTGAGGTAACACAGTATTTCTAGAATCTCATTAATGCGCTAGGAACCCGGGCTGGCGTTATCGCCACTTCTTCTCCTCGCCTCGAGCTGTTTCGCTAGCAGCGCGACCTCCCAATTATTGTAGCCGTCTTGCCGCACGATTTTATCATCATCGTCCTCGTCGTCATCATCCTCTTCCTCCTCCTCTTCCTCCTCCTCCTCCTCTTCATCCTCCTCGTCGCCTTCGTCGCTATCACCCTTGTGGTGGCCAGAAATGTCAAATTCCTCGTCTGATCTGCTATCGCTGTTGGATTCAAGATCGATCGCCACGTCCTCCCGCGACAATCTCTGTGGCACTATCGAGTTCGGCAATTCCTGTAATTCCAAGGTCTCTCTTTCCGAATGCTCTTCCCACGACCGCCTGCTACGTGAGCTCGAGCCCACCGACGAGGACGAGTGTCGGTCGCGGGATCGCGTGGTCAGGACGGTATCCACGGAGCTATCACGCATGAAGGGATGATCCTCGCGATCGTCATCAAGATCCTCCTCCATAGAGGCGTCGTGTTCGGTGCTGTCTCCGCCGGAGTCGTCCGCGCGACGCAGTTTTCTTCGCTCTAACTCCTGGATCCGCGATTGTAGCTGAGATATTATCTCGTCACGTTTGCGGACCTCGAGCTCGAGCGATGTGAACTGCCGCTCGAATTTGCTCTGCATGTCCTCCTGTAATGTTAAAAGCGTCGGTATGATTAATCGGGACAGTCACCGTGTGTTACACGGTAATGAGAACTCCTGCGAGCAGAGTTGGATAATTGGGCTTGATGGACGTACATCTGGCGACGATGAGTACCAAGTTTGGGACTTTGGACAACACGCTTGAACGACGACGGGCTTAAATTCGCGGGATTACAACACGAGGATGTTCCTCTCTTTGCTCCACAAGAAGAGAAAAGTTAACATCTAAGATAGATTTAAAACATTTTAAAGTTAAAAGAAAATCAATTACATGTAGAAGAAATACTACTTATTCCCATTCCCATTCGGTTATTAATACTGTCAATAAATATTGATTTTGCGAGCGAGACGTCCCTCGTTTCTAACGAGAGCAGCCTTTTGACAATGGCGCTCCCGTGTGACGACAGGGAGCGACACACAAAGCTTGTCCATTGAAAGCGGGGACAAAGGAAACGGTAGTCGTGCGCGCTCTTCACTCACCAGGCCCGCCTTGATGACCTCGCCAACCCCGGAGAGCAATTCGCCCAGGCACTCCTCCTCCCGTGGCCGCGACACCGTTTGCAGGACACCACCGACACTGCTCACAGGACGGAAACTGAATTTATTGGGCGGCGGCAGTGACGGCTGATCCTGGGTGCCAGACAACGGGTAATTCGACGGCGGCTGCAGGGGTTGCTCGGACGGCGGGCTCTGCAGCGTGTACTTGTTGAAAGTCACGCTCTTGGACAGCTTCGAGTGCCGCGCGGCATAACCCTCGATCGTCGGCGCTCTCATCAGTCTCTTCAGCTCGGCGGTCGCAGCCTCGCGATCCGGCGTGCTCGTGGCCGAAGTCTCGGAACTGCCGGCTCTACTGCTGGCCGACAATTTCTTCAGAATGCTCTTCAGGTTCCGCCTTTCGAGCGTCTCGTTCTCTGGCGACAGCTGCTCCGCCGGCGATGCCGTCGCTTGTCGATCCTATTCATTCGAAATTTAATATTAATTCTTTTCTTTAAAAAAAAATAGCTGAAATATGAAATTGATATATGAAAATAATAAAAATATGTTAGATAACAAGGATTTACTTGATTATACTTGGCCAGTTTCCTGGCATACTCGATGGCGCAGGCCTCCGAATGACTTCTCGTGAGATTGCTGTCGAATTCCGGCTCGACATTTTCGCCGCAATCGAGAGACGAGCTCCTGACTGCCTTTTCCAGTTCAGCCAGCTTCTGCCTCTCGTTGAGAATTTTGAGCTTTTTGACGAAAGGTAAGCCGCAGTACTCTGGCGAAAGATCATCGACGGAGGCATACATTTTGGTTTGTTGTAGCTTCCTGGTCGGCGGGCTTTTCTGTGGCGAATTATCTTTGCCGGTCAACGACGCGTTTTTTAAAGTGGTCCAGGGCTTTTTGATCGGCTTGATCGCCCGCATTTCAACCTGCGAGGTCACGGTGGACACGACGATGTTTTGATCACCCGAGGATGACTGCTCGTCCGATTGCGTGCTCGTCTCCTCGGGAATGGTGTTCTTAGGCAGCAGGGATTCCTTGATGGGCGCCTCTCTCTCTATTTGTGTGGTTTCCTGTTCGTTCTTCGCCTTCAGCAAAAGTATCCTTTGCAGAAACGGCAGGTTCTGATTGGTAGGGTTCAAGGCCTCTGAGATTGGCGGTGGGTGTGGCTCCGTCGCGTGGCCCGACGTATCCATCAGATTGCGTCGTTCCTCTCTCTCCTCCTTTTCCTTCAGCAGCCTGAGCCTGGATAGCAGCGGTAGACCAGCGCCTAACGGCGACACCGGCGGCTCTTGACTGTTGGGCAAAGACAAGTCTTGGCCGTCGTCGAACTTCTGCTGCCGTTTCAGGACAGGTGCCTTCGGTGCCAGCGGCTGAAGCTCCAGGCTCTCCTCGGGTCGCGTGTTGCGTCTGCTCTTCCGTAAGACATTTTTCAGGCCTTTCACGTCGCTCTTTAACTTATCGACAATCCTCTTGCCGGTGCTATTGTCGGACGAATCGTGACCAGGGGACGTGGGCTGACGGAACGCCCGCGCTACCCTCTGCGCCTCCATCAGCCGCTTTCGGCCGAGGTTTTGCAGGATCTCCTGCGCCTCCGGGTAGTCCTTCATCGCCGCCAACACATCCTCTCGCGAGAGACTGAATAACTCGGAATAACCCACTGAACGAACATCAGCTGTGCGTCTAAAAATTTTTTCGAATTTTCAACTTTAAAAACTTAACTTCCTTAATTAAAGCGTGCAAAGTTAAGGGTGTAAAATAAAGTGTTATGCTTATAATTTAAATTTGTAAAAAGGTAATTCGTCTAAAGCATTCTTCATTCAAATTTTTGGAAAATATATTTTTTTTAATTTATGCATACGTGAAGAAGTGAGCCTTCTCTCGCTTCGTTTAATCGTCTGCCTCATTTCTACGTTATGGATCCTAATACATCTCGGGTGGAAAGAAGATCGGAAAAATTTTACTCACTTATTCAATCCGTCCAGATTGAGTATACCAATCTCGCCGAAAAAGTCTCCGGCCTTCATTGTCGTGAGGACTCTACCAGTTTCACTGATCACCTCCAGAATACCGTCGGCTATTATGAACATCTCACGAGCGACCTCGCCTTTCCGACATATCGAATCGCCGGGAGTGAAAATATAAGCCTTCATCTTCAGAACGAGATCATGCAGAAATTCCGGTTGACATTCCTACAAAATAGTATCGATAATTCGTCAAGGAGATCTACAAAATCGCATATGATCTCTTAACAAAGATACAAACAAATTATTACAATATATTAAAAATAACTTGCCAAGTTCTCTTGCGATTAGCATATAAAAAGATTATAAAAATTTTACTGCATATACAAATAACTTAAAGATATTAATTTCATCTTTTACAGTATCCTCGCCATCAAAGGGTTCATTAATTGTTTTTAATATTATATACAATTCTACACAGTAAAAATTCATTTTATTTTTCGGAAAATTGATATTTTCACCATTTCCTCGAACTTTCCCTAACTTTATAAAATTTTCTCTGAGCAATAAAAGAGATTTTATTCCTGATGGGGACAGCCGTTTAGATCTTATTACATTAGCTTTCGAATTCGAGAGCGAAAATTCCGCTGGGCATTACTAACTTCATAATCACCTTAAAATTTAAAGCTTCTATACGGTCTCTGTGAAAAAAAGGATTTTTAAGGACAATTTTAAAGGACATTTTAAAGGACAATTTATGAAGACTTAACGCGTATTAAACATTAGCTTCGAGCCTTTATCGCATTTTCTATCTCGCGTGAATATAATTTTTATCCTTGCATTCATAAATCTTTCGTTAATCATGCGGAAAAGCTTCTTACTGCATTTCCGATAAAATTAATAATAAAAGACTCTTGTGACAAATGTGTATTTGTAATATCCATTTTTTCCTAGATCCGATTTCGGAGTATTATCTCGTCATTTATTTAATTTCCTTAAATATATGAAATAGAAGAATACACTGGAAATAAAATATTTGTTAATTTTAATAATAGAAAATTATTCTAATAAAAAATTGAAAGAATCAATTGATACAGGCCATTGTTTAAAAAAAAAATGAGATTATACTTTTTAATAATCAGTTACTCTGTATCATCACGATACGAATATATCTGATATACTAATTTACATATAACGCTACGAACAGCATTAACATCTTTTCGACTAAATTATTTAGCGAATAAATCGGATCATCTACCACGCCTATTCCATGTTGTCCAAAACCGACGTCGCGTCATTCGTCTCATTCTCCAAGTCGAGAATACAGATTTATGGATCTGTACAAAACTGTACAAATCTTTCATTGTATATTCATATTTCTATCGCGTATTCAAGCTTTCATAAAAATGTATAATTTTAATACGACGTACCAATTTTTTATAATTATATCTATTTATATAATTACTTTTTATATCATTACGACATAAGTATATCTATTTATATAATTACGACATATCCCACTTTTCTGTGCCAACTTGGTGAACACGGCTGTGGAGATCGCGGAGATCGTTTTGTGTATATCGAATGTATCAAAAGATTAATATTGTAATATTATATTAATTTCTGCTACTTTAAAAGTTTAAAAAATATATATATAGCGTACGCGTCGTGTTTGTGTTGTCTAGTTTAAAATTTAAAATATAATAAAATTAAAGACACAAGAAACAGAGCGCGAAAAAACCGAACGTTTGTAGCAAGATTACAGCAGAACGTTTAGTATTTTGCTCTTTTGCGGCCCTTGACGATCACGAGACGACAATCGTAATTCTTTGTGAGATATGATTTCTTTTCTTGTCGATTCTCCTTGTCGATTCTCGGAGCCCTCTGCTAATAAAGTCGATCTTTCATTTCGCGATATTTCATTCAATTGACAACGCACACCGTCGAGTAACGCGTTTTACACATCCTCGCTCGCTTTGATTCGTGACGAGAACACGATCGGATCTCGAGGCTGTTATCCTCGATCATCGAAGCCGTCTGACTTTATTCATCCGATCTACAATAGGCCTCGTTAAAATGCAGTCAAAGTGGACGCGTGTATTGGCGCAAGCACAACGACCACGTGGAAAAAAATACAGGGTATCTGAATTGGCGACACAAATTGGCGTATATTCTTCGGCCGGTTTAAAGTCGGTTCTTCCATAGCGAAAATATTTACAAGTTTTGAGCTATAAGCAATCGAACATGAAAAACTTTTTTTGTCAAGCACTCTGAATCACGCGAAATTAAATAATAAAATACTATATTTTATTATTGATTATCTGAATCTCTTTTTAGCAAAAATTTATCAGCCTTATCTGGAATAGTATGTTTAATAATATCGACAATAAAAATGACAAGACTTCAATCAAACTATTTTTCTTTCCTTCCGGTATTAATTTTTTTTAAATTTTTTTAACTTAATTTTTGTTACAATAACATTTATTCTCTCTCTCTCTCTCTCTCTCTGTCTCTCTCTCTCTCTCTCATTTTTTATTTAATTACGAAAATTATTCTTTTAGCTTCTATAAATTTTTTTAGAAAATTATTCAAAAATTACAGGCACCACATATTCCTCGATGTAATATTTGATGGCCATCATAGGAAAACCAGGGTTGCATGTTGCGCAGCGGGTTGGTTATCATAACTTTAATAACTCGACCGTTACGTGCGCTGTGAGTGAGCGAAGTCACTCTTGCGCGAAAAGCATTTTCAGTAAGTTGTATATGCAGTCACGGTTGCTCGTGACGGTCTTGCGAAAATGCATCCGCTATTTTTATATGTCTCTTACTTGAAAGAAAAATATTTCTATATATTATATTCTATTTCTGTGTAGATTACACATAATCTGTATCATCCGTTGCATATTATTACGTACAAATGTACTTATAGATAGTTTCACTGGCATTAACGACGTAACAGCCTATAATTCAGTAAGATAAAGATCAGTCAGATAAATTCAGTAAGATTCAGAAAAGATCGACTAAATCCTGATTTTTGAAATATACATGTATATATATATATATATATATATAATTGACAAAAGAGTATGATAATGTATTCATCTTTCTACATCTAGCCTACGAAGTAATTAATCAGTAGCCGTTTTTGACGCGACCTATAAGTTCAGGTTGCAATGGGCAAGTGAATCAATGAATGGTGATTACGAGGCACCACCACGGTGCCTGTGGTTCCTGTTGAAGCGGGTCGAGGGCTGCAATTAAAAGTGGCACACAGACTCGCCAATTACAGGCGATCGTAATGGCACCATGCGAAAATCTCTCTCTCTCTCTCTTTTTCTCTCTCTCTCTCTCTCTCCTTCTTTTCTCGCTGGTCGCGCCGTCAATGCACCCTTATAATTCCCCTCTCCGAGGAGAAAGATTGAAATAAAAGGGATCTAGTGGATCACACGCGGACTGAGTGGATTACCTGGCCGCTTTAAGCTCGCGACTCGAGATCTCTCCGGTCTGGATTCGCAGCACCGTGAAAACTTCATTATCTCCGCAGTGCGGTACTCGCGCTCTCCAACCAGAATAAATATGAGCCAGGATGCGGTTAGCATTGGTAGGCGATGACAGAAATACTCGGTAAGGACGTAAATGAAAAAGTTGACGGGAAAAGGAACACGGAGAGCCTCCTATTCGTCGAGAGCGTATAATTAACTTTCATATTATACATTACGTTCTCAAAATCATCTTTTTCTATTCGTTTCGTAGTTGTTTATTTTTTTTCTTTTTATTATTATATTATCGTACAACGATATTACAAATGTTTGAATGGACGTTGATAACTAATCTGGCGTGTTAACAACATCAGCGTTTTATTTTTCCACGAGAATTGCCGGCGATATTTTTAGCATCGCGTTTCTCAACGCGCGTTACATCGCGTTTGTTTCCGAAAAAGTATATCGCACGTGCGTAATCTAATCAGTAGAGAAAGCCGGAGTAGATTACGTCCAATTTCAAGCTCGGAATTCCAGCGTTTTCAATCTAGAATTCGGCGGCATCGAGCGAACTTCATTATCTCTACCATGCGGGCTTTTTCAAACGCATACATTCAATTGCGACGGTAATTCTAACGTGGGCGATTTTGGCTTGTATTGGCGGGTAACTATTTCAATCCTGACCGACAAATCCAATATCTAAATTTTTTATTTTTCCGAGGAAGGAGGAATATTCAATTAATAATTGGCATCAAATATTGATCCCAGTTTTTATATGTCTGCTGTTTTGCTATTTTTGCTTTAATCTAATTTTTGAAAAATCAACTAAACGCTAAAAATTTCACCATATCAAGTATCATCACGATCTGTAATTCCACATTTGTGAATTCCGATTTTCTAATTTAATTAATCGACGTTTCTCTCATAAGTCTTTCGTAAGACGTAATGCCTTTTTTTCGGCTCCATCTCTATAGATTAGGAGCTAAATGGTCCATGGCGCTCTTCATCAAATTTATCGGAAACTTGGCACACATATAATCGTAAATTAGAAAATTGCTCGTAAGAAGCGTTTGAAGAAAATGACGAATGATTTCGTTTACCTTTAGACGAAACGATATGTCCCAAAGTGACATAATTCAAGAAACTATTCAACTAACTTTGGTCTTTTCTCAATCGTTACGGTAATGCAATGTTATATTTTACTTGTGTTATATATTTTACATAAAAAATATATAAATATATTTCATTTTTTAAATAAATATTTTATATTGTTTTGACAAATAAAATTCTATATCTTGACGCTACAGAATCAAATCCCGTCGGTGATCCTATAAATCTGAATTGAATTTTTCAATTTCGTTTTTCGAAGATTCTTTTTTTGAGCTGCGACTCATTTTTTTCAAGGCGCGATATTATCGTTCGTATTTCGTTTACGGAAAGTTATGAAAAAGATCTACTCTGATAGAACACTTTAAGCGTACTATTGTGAGGCAAGTTGGTTGCTTTAAAAAGAATAAAAGGATCGAGTGAGAAAATAGATTGGAGAACCGGATGTAACTGGAAATGAAACAATTTTTGTCTCCATGTGCCGATCAGGGACAAACTGAATTTTCGATTAAAGGGACTTTCGACGCTTTCCGCCTGCCTTTCCCGTGCCTCGTCTATTTTGCGCCACGTCACTCCGTTTCTCGAAAACAACACCAAGAATACCCGGTTGACCCGAAAACCGCGGCCGTAATTTAGATCC